ATTGCCTCCCACTGGGCAGTGGCTTTTCACTTGCAATGCAGGACATAGAGTTTTAAAAAAGCCAGGAGAATAGAATATTTTGCAAAAGAAATCCCACAGTACGGAGCTTTTGTGCAGTCCAATAGTGAGATTGTGTTAGTGTGGCTAATTCCACAGAAGAGGACAGAGTCTGCAGCTCTCATATGAGCTAAGGAAAGCTTTAGTAGAGAAATTGTGCTCCAAGTAAAATGCTGTCTGTTAAAACCAGCACCTCTGCATTTGGAATTATCCCTAAATCAGAAAAAAACAAATTGTCCAGTGAGAGATCCAGTGATCCCAGAATGGATGGGTGATTCTAAGGTGAACTCTTTGGTAGAATACCTTTTACCAATCCTATCTATATTCTCCTTCAGATTTAATATATGGAGCAAGAGAGCCAATTTATAACTTGAATTGTTTAATTAGACTTCAAGCTGGTTTAGAAGTTATTACTAAACAAACAGCTACCGCCTTAGATCTGTGAGCAGATCAATTAACCCAGATGAGAACTGCCACCTTGCAACATCAAATAGTTTAAATTATTTATTAGCAGATGTCATGGTTTTGCTCTGGCTCAGTTTGCTCTCACCCCCACACAATTACTATAAATTGAGAGAAGGTTTATGCAGATGAAAGAGACTTGATTTGGGAAAATAATATGAACATTTATTACTAGCAAAATAAAACTAAAGAACTACATGTACAACAATTCTATTTAAGTAAAAGTGCGACGTATTTACAGGAATACTTCTCCCCCTTTATATCAGTCCAAGGAGGAGAAGCAGTCTCTTTCTCGGAGCTCCAGGTCTTTTCAATAACCTGCAACACTTTAAAGCTCTTCTTTTGTTATCTCAGGACGACAACTCTGATTCGTCGCAGCTGGAACTCTTTCTCTTTCTCTCTCTTTTCTCGGTCGGCCTCCAGGGCTGGGCCTACCCCCTCCTGGGCTAAGACCAGAGGCTGGGGGTTACCCAGGCCCTGAAAGTTTTCTCTTCCATGGGCTTGCAAGGGGACATTTGCTTACCATGGATCTTCACTCACAGGGTCACAGGGGATAATGGCTTTTGAGTCCACCCCTGTTCCTTATGGAGGTCCCTCCCCATGGGAGAACAGTCCTTGATAGACCTCTCCGACATGGGTCTAGCATGGATCTTTCACTTCTTAGATCTCAACATCTTACCCGGGCCGTCCTTGCTCCGGCGTAAGTCTCTTTCTCAAGGTCACAAATCTTCAGCAGCAGCATGGATCCCACACACGGATCCCAACATCCCACCTGGGCCATCTTGCTCCAGCATAGTTTTGATTGGCTTCTTATCTGGAAATCCACCTGGACAAAACCATCCTCAGCCCCAGGGGCTGGATGGTAGGCAAAACCACGACAGCAGAGGAAGGAGGGCTATGTGGAAAATTAAATGACTCAAATTGCTGTCTGCAAGTCGATGACAATGGAAAAGTAGTAACACAGATAACATAAGAAATTAGGAAGTTAGCCCATGTCCCAGTTCAAACCTGGAAAGGCTGGGACATTGATAGGTTTTCATGGCTTCTTTTAAGACAAGGAATAAAGAACATATTATTTCTTCTTCTTTATGAACTAGTTCCCTTGATTTTCTTGCCTTGCATAGTCCCTTGTTTTATGCAACTTATTGCACATGTGATAAAGGGAATGCAATTAGTAGTGATGCCCAATGATCCTGAAATGGTGACTAAAGGACAGAAAACAATGGTCTTCCAGAAAATGTCCCCAAAAAATTATCTACTACTCACTTTCAAGGAACTTTAATCTGAAGTAATTCAATGGACCAAGAGGCAATTACTAAGAAAATGATACTCCCTTTTGCAAGAACACCATCACAGAAACGTGGTGGGATGCCTCCCATGACTGGAGTGCTGCCCTGGATGGTTACAAGCTCTTCAGAAGGGACTGGCAAGAGCAGTTGGGCCTCTTTTTCTTTTAAGGTTGTTTTTGCTTTTCATTATGTTTTGGGGACAACAAAAGAAGGGTTGTTACCCAGTGTGCTTAACTGAGCCTCCCAAATCTACCAGCACCTCTCTGGAAGCAATTTCTTGGCATGGGCACAGCTGGAAAAGCTGTATCCTCTTTCTCTTTTATCTTCTTCCCTCCATCCCTCTCCTCTTGCCTTTCTTTAACACCCTAGGGGACATGTCCCTGTTATCCTGGACTGTGTCCTCACCCCAAAGCCCCATCCAACTGGCCTTGAACACTTCCACGGATGGTGCAGCCCCAGCTTCTCTGGGCAATCTGTGCCAGGGCCTCAGCAGCTTCACAAGGAAGAGTCAAAATACAGCAAATGCAGCCCTTTGCAAAGAAGGAAACTCCTGGGCACCTGGGCAGACCCTGCTTGCTGCCACAAGGACCAGCTCCCCAGGGACCCACTGTGTCCATGCCGCCTGCAGAGCTCTTGGCATGGATTTGCAGGAGCACAGCAGGCTTCAGGGACAGCAAATGGAACCCAACCCCTACACCAGAAGCCCGACCTCAGTGCACCACTCCCTTCGGAGGGATTTTCCTGGAGATAAGACCTTCAAGCCCAAATCATCAAGCCACGTGGATCAGTCTCATGCCTCATTGCCCTGCTGGCACCACTTGTATCCCATTTCATGCCAAAATGGGGAATTCAGCCCAAACCTGCCATTTTGCAAGCAGTTCCTGAACTGAGGGGGCCAGAACAGGACACAGTATCCCAGTGCTGCCTGGCAGTGCTCCCTGCAGTAGGATGGGCAAGTGTCTGTGTCTCAGCCAGTGTGTTGCCTCTTCATTTGCTTTTAAGCACACTGAAAACTCACTGTTAAGCCAGGTTGGTCTGTGGATCAGACTTATTCCTTCCACTTTGCTCGTGAACTGGGACATCTTTTCAGCAGACACTGCAGGGCTATCTTCCCTCCATCCCTGAACCTGAGCCACGTGAGGCCCTGTTTTGCTTCAGCTTCTGCTGCTCCTTCCTTTGTTGCCAGGCAGTGCTGGATGTGGAGTTTTGAAGCCCATGCCAGTGTTTTTAAGGTGCCTGCATGGAGGAGAGGTTCAGCAGCTGCACCCCAAGGCTGGTGTCCCAGCAGAGTGTCCAAGGATGCCAGCAGTGCCACTGGTTTGGGACAGCTGAGTGTAAAAGGCAAGTCCAGCCTCAAGCAGGGCCCTTGAAGTAAGTGAGTGAGGATGACAGGCTGCAGCTGAAGGTGCCAAGTGAGGCTGGGGAGTGAATGGAAAGCTGTTGTGGCCACTTGCCCTGAAGCCTTTTGCCAAAGGGGGTGCAGTTGTGGCCACAGCGTGCCCAGTGTTGGCGTGCTGGCGGGTGTGGGTGCCTGGCTGAGGAGGCCCAGGCGCTGTGGGTGCTGCTGCTCCTGTGCCCCCTCTGGTGCTGTTGTGTGTGGGGCGCGGAGCCGCTTGGGCAGCGGCGACTGCGCAGCCCTGGGCCAGGAGCCCAGCGCCCTGCCCGTGGTGGCAGCAGCTGTGCGGGCCCAGAGCTCTGGCTCAGCGGGGTGTCGGCCACAGCCCCGTGGGCTGGGCAGCGGCGGGGCCCGGGCTGGCCGCCGGCCCTGCCTGTGCCACTGCCCCTGGCCGGCAGCACGGCCCCCTTGCCCTCCTTGTCCCCAGCCAGGCCAGCCTGGCCACCCTGGGGCTGTGCCCACCCTCCTGCTGAGGTCTGGCATCGAGGGCTTCTGCCCCAGGGCTGGGAGACGCCTCGGGAAAGCAGCAGAGCAGCCGGGTGGCAGGGAACCAGGGGGCTGCCTGGGGGTTGCTTGTGGCCTCTGCCCCCCCAGTTCCCTCTACTCTGCCCCTCAGAACTCTCCCCCCAGTCTGTGCCCCTGTAGCCTTCTGCTACGCAGCCCCTCACAGATTCCCCTCAAGGCTTCTCACTCCCTTGTCCCATCAGGGCCTGTGCAGCACCTCACCTCTTCCTGGCCTCCCAGTGCCCCGTCCCCTGCAGGTCTCCCCCAGCCCCGCCAACCTGCCCGGCAGCGGCGCGGCCCTGAAGGAGCTGCAGAGGAGCCGCTCCAGAGGCACTTTGGAGCCCTGAGCGATGCAGCCAGCAACACACAGGCAGGACACAGAGGGGGCTTCCTGGCTAGGGAGAGGGCTTGTGGTCATCTCCAAGGACAAGCTCTACCTGTCCACTCTGCTGCAAACGTTGAGGCTCCAGCACAACCACCAAAGGCCAAGGGGCTTCTGCCCACTTTTGCTGGCACGCTGCCCAGTGGGGCAAGCGTTGCCGCACAGGACCCTTTTCCTCTTCCCCAAGGCCTTCTGGACACTGGACAGCAAAAATACTCCTGGGCCTCTGTGTTTGGTAACATGTCTGTCATATTGCCATGTGTCATGGGTTTGCTCTGGGCCAATTTTTTCTCACCCCCACACAATTGCTATAAGTTGAGAGAAGGTTTATGCAGATAAAGGAGATCTGATTGGGGAGAATAATATCAGCATTTATTACTAGTCAGATAAAAACTAGAGAACTATATCTACAAAAATTCTAATTAGGTAAAAATACAAAGTATTTACACAAATAGTCCTCTGCCCTTTGTATCAGTTGAGGAGGAGAAACAGTGTCTTTCTCCATTTCCAGAGCTACAGGTCTTTTAAAGAAATTTGCAGCACTCCAAAGTTTTTCTTCTATTATCTCTAGCCCCTCCTGGGCTAAGACCAGAGGCTGGGGGTTACCCAGGCCCTGAAGGGTCTTCCATGGACAGGCGTCTTCCCCACAGGCTCTGGTGGCCCCAGTAGAGACAGACTGACGGATCAGTTCTCCCCAGAGCTGCAGCTGCACAGGCAGACAGTGCCCTGCAGAAAAGGCCGAGTCTTCCACGCCCTGCGGAGCCAGTCTTGGAGCTGCGGGCATCTGGAATAGGGGGCCGTCTGTGCAGCTCTCAGCCCGTCGAAGGATTGAACTGCCAGGCCTGCGATGGATGGTGACTCTGATGGCATCTGTCACGACACAAAGGGCTGGAAGAGGCAGCAATGGAGTCTACCAGAATTTGAAGAATGGAGCTCTCTGGACAGCTTGGATGATGTAGATTGTTTGAGCTGCCAGATTTGAGATGGCAGGGCTGTCGTCAGTCATGGCTTGAAGGGCTGGAAGAGAAAGGAAGAGAACCAAGGTCAGGGGAGCCGAGGAGCCCCTGGTGCCAGGGCCATGCCAACCAGCTCTTGCCATGGCCAGGAGGGAGCAGGGCCCAAGGGGATCAGCTGGAAGGTGCTGGCCACCGATACCGCCCTGTGCCCCTGAAATCTCTCTCCACTCTGCCCAGGCCGCCCCTCGTGCGTGCAGGGAGCAGAGCCCTGTGCAGCCGGGGCAGGACTGCAGCTCCCTGCCCAGGGTGTGAGCTCCTCCCGCCAGCCCCTACTGCCAGCCCGCTGCCCTCACTCACCCTGGTAGATGAGCTGCAGCTCTTGCTGCTCCTCCCTCAGGTACCTGCCGGCGATCCCTGGGAACACAGAGCCTGTCAGGGCCCCAGAGGCACAGGTGCCCCGCAGCGGCGATGCCAGCCCGGCCACACGGCCTCCTGGCCTGGTAGGGCTGAGCCCGGGGCCTTCCCCACGAGGACGCCCCAGGCTTGGGCTGGGTTGTCCAGGGTGGTAGCAGGCGCCAGGGCACTCGGGGCTCCCCGTGCCCTTGGCCGCATCCTGCTGCCGCTGCAGCAGCCGGGGCTGGGGCCGAGCTGTAGCGGGGCGGGGAGGGACCCCGGGCTTGTGGCTCACCCATGAACTTGATGGCCGCCCTTCGCAGGGGCTCCTGTGGGCTCTGCAGGTACGGCAGGGCCTGGCGCACGTACTGGGCCACTCGGCTGCTGTCCTTTTGCAGCTGCAAAGAGTGCCAGAGCACGGGGGGAAGGGTTGGCTCAGGCTCTGCCCCACACACTGGCCATCAAGGGCTGGGGCATGGGGCCGTCCTTACCAGGCACTCGCCAAACCTCCATGGCTGCTCCAGGGTCACCAACTGCTCCAGATTCTTCCACTTCAGGAACCTGGCTGCACCACACAGTGCTTCCCGAGAGGCCTGCAGAGCAACAGAGAGCGGCCCATGGCAGCGCAGCCCAGGGCACAGGACCCGCATCCCTGCACCAAGGCCAGCACGAGGCTGGAGGTGACGATGGGTCAGGCCAGGAGGCAGAGCAGCCTCCTCCTGTGGGGACACCAGAGCCCACGAGTCCTCACCTCTGCCACACGCTGGTTCTCGTCATGCCAGTTGAAGTAGAGCGGGAGCAGCCTCTGGTGCACGTGTGGCTTTAGCATCTTGTTTCTCTCTGTCACGTCCATCCCGTGATGGAAGAGGACCATGGAGAGCTGCTGCAGCTGGCTGTTGTCCTGGGGCAAAGCAAGAGGAAAAGACCTCAGCACTGGCTTCTCCAGGCCCACCAGGGCACAGGCCTGAAAAGACACAGGCCACAAGGTTTCCTGGCAGCACTCGGTGCCCACAAGGAGGGGTACAGAGCCTTACGTCGTCAAAGAGTGGTCGCAGTGCCTCAAGCAACTTCAGGGCAGTGGGGCCTGATATTTGGATGGTTTTGGTCTGGAGCACATTGATGAACACAGAGAGGGTCATCTGAACCACGTCTCTGTCTGCATGCTGCAGTAGCTCCAGGAGGCTTTCATTCAGGCTCCAAATGCTCTTGGCCTGTGTGGAACACAATGCTGTGCTGGGAAGGGGCCATGAAGAGGAGCAGCCGCCACAGCTCCCAAAGGCCAGGCAAGGCCAAGCGACTGCGTTGCACAGCCGCACGCTGCTGGCCCGGCTTCAGCCGCCTGCCCCCTGCTCACCATTGCGGGAGCCTTGCTGAAGGCCTCGAGGCCTCTGAGAGCCAGGCGACGCCTCTGCGGGCAGTCCCTGTGCAGGTGCCTGGAAAGGATTTGCAGGGCTCTGCCAGCATTTTGGATGGTCTTCAGGCAGGTCAGCACCTGAAAGGCACGGAGCAGTGACGGGGTGCCCAGCCGGCAGGAGCCCAGACCTGCCCAGGGCTGGGCCCGGGCAGCAGCACAGGCTGCAGGCAGCGTCCCAGGCGGCTACGGCTGGGAGAGGGCACAGAGGTGGAGGTAGCTGGGCGAGGCAGCACTTGCCATCAGGCTCACCTCCACCAGGAATGCCAGGCCAGGGACTTCCCAGAGGGGCTCTTCGCTGCTGAGCAGAGAGAACAGGCTGATGGCGATGCTGCGGCAAAAGGAGTGGGAGACACAGCGCAGCTCCCTGGAAAGGGGGAAAAAGGCACCACAGAGCCTGAGCCAGGTGGACCAAGCTCTCCTGGGACTGACTCACAGAGGTCTTTCACCACCAGCCCGGGAGGAGACATGGGCGCTTTTTGAGGTGGCTCCTGCTGTGCCTCTCTCCGACTTTTCCAGTCTGCTCAGCCATCCCTGGGTGCCAAGGCCCTCTGGCCCACGGCCACTGTCTGGGGTGCCCTGTGCACAGGGCAGAAATGCCAGGGGCAGTGGGGAGAAAGGAATCTCACCTGGCCAGTAGACCCACTGCATAGTGGTGGGTGTCAGTGTTGAGGAGCATGTCCCAGACACACTTGCGATCTATTTCCAGCAACACATCCTCATCCACCAGCTGGCCGAGCAGGGCTTTAATGGTCTGCACTGCAAACCTGTGTGCAGAGCACAGCCCAGGTGATGCTGAGAGCCCTGGCCCCAGCCCCGAGGGCGTGGCAGGGATAGAGGACTGGGATGGAGCACCTGTTGGGGGCGGTGGGAAGGCTGCGTTGCTCCCGGCAGCGCCTCCAGAAGGTGTCGACCTCCTGTGACATCTCCTCTGTGCTGATGAAAACTTGGAAGAGCAGAGTCAGAAGGAGGCGGGGGAATTGTCCTTCACTCCACCTGGGCACCAGGACAGCTGGAGGATCTCCCAGAGTGCCACAGTTGCCTGCCAAAGACAAAGTACCCAGGACAGCTCTTAGTGCCAACATGTCCATGGAGCAGGGCCCGAGCGTGACAGGGAAAGGCCAGGGGAGACACAGGGGAATCACCCGTCCTGGTGGCCCTGAACCTTCCCCTAAGCCAGGTTTGCAGCCTAGTGCCTGAGGCAGGGAGAAGCAGTGGGGAAGGAGGATGGAAAGGCATCAGAGAGGCGACCTTGGGGGCGAGCGGAGGCCAGTTCCAGAAACTCACAGCCAGGGCAAAGACATCCGTGTCATCCCCATCAGAGGTGCATCTCCTGTGCGCTGGCCAGTATTCCAGCACAAGGAAGAGTATCTGCAACACCGGCCCCTGAGTTTTTCTCGAGGAGATGAGCGTCTTCCACATGGTGCGAGCAGCTCTGTGGTGTCAGAACTCTGGGTCAGGGCGTGTGGCCCACTGCGCTGTGGCCTGGGCAGCTGCGGGGCCCAGGGGACAGAGCCACGGTGCCTTGTGGGGCAGGGAGGCAGGGTGGCCTCAGCACCGGGGGCTGACATGCCAGCCTGGGTGAGACAGGAGCTGGAGTGTCCTGCAACTCTCCATCTCTCTGGCACACCATTTGGGACAGGCTGTATGGGGTGATGGGTTCTAAAGGCAGGTGGGCTCCATACCTGTCACAGGATGGGGCAGAGCGCAGGAGAGTCACTGCAACATCCGCGGGGTGTGCCTCGGTCAGCAGCACCAGAGTCTTGTCCAGCCTGTGCTCAGCAGACACGTTGGATGCGAGCCACTGGTGGATGCACCTGACTAGGGCCGGCACCTGCAGGGACATGGGGCAGAGTTGCAGAGCTGCCAGAGCCAGAAACTTGCCTGGCTTCCCCCAGGAAGTGCTCCAATTGCCACCACACTGTGCTGGTCTCAGAGGCTGAGGGGGCCCAGCACAGTCGGCGTAAAGGGCCCCACGATCCCTGGGAGACTCGAGCCCTGGCCACAGGCTGCTTACTTGCTTCCCGCTGTAGACCCCACTGTCCACAAGCAAATGCAGCAGGGCAGCACTGGTCTCGGCATTGACGAGGTCAGAGTTTGCCGTGTCCCCGGTGGTCAGGAAAGCGCTGTCTTCACGCCAAATGCACCTGATGAATCGGCAAACCATCTAGAGGAGGAAGGCAAGGAAGAGAGAGGTGTCTCCTGGAGTGCTCCCACAGCGCTGCTGGGCTGAGCAGTGAGAGCAGCCCCAGCCCAGGCAGGGATGGCTGCAGGTACCTGTGCTGCCCTGCGGAAGCGGCCACGAGCACGGACCTGCTCTTCTGTCCGCTCCTGACCTGGATGTGGCAAAGAGCGAGCGCAGTCAGAGCTGAGGGTGTGCGGGAGAGGCTGGAGAACACAGCCCAGGCCTGGTTCCAGAGGGGATGGGACAGGATGAGGCCAAGTGGGCTGCAGCCACCAGCCCAGTGGCCCAGCTCCACCACTCACCCTCCTGCAGAGGCTGGACGTGCTGCCCTTCTTCAGACTGCTGTGCTGGAGCAGTCTCAGGGCTTTCCTCCTCCTCCCTCACCCAGGCCAGCTTGGACATTACTGGGGGGCTCTGCTGCATGTCTTTGTCTGCCTTGATGGCTCCCTGCAGGAGAGATGCCATGGAAAAGCTTTGGTTCGATAAGTCCTTCAGGAGTGCTTTGAAGGCAGCTGCAAGAGAGAAGCCTGGGAAATGCTCCACGTCATCCAGTGCCATGGTCTGGCTTCGAGAGCACTTGCCACAGGGCCTGGGGTAACCTTAATAGCCCCAGATCCTCAGGTCCCACAGTGTGGCCTGGAGGATGCACGGGGGAGAGGTGGAGAGCTGCCAGGGTGAGCAACTTGCCCAGCTTCCCCCAAGAAATGCTTCCCTTCCCAGCACACTGTGCTAGCCCCAAAGGCTGAGTGGGCCCACACTCTTGGGGGGCCACAGGCTGCTTACTTCAGCAGAGACAACTGTCTGCCCAAGAGAGTCCCGACTGGGAGCATGAGCCAGGCACTGAACAGGCGTGGCGTCAGTGCTGGCGACGCCCTCAGTCGCTGTGGCGTCAGCCTTGTCCGTGAGACCAGGCAGCGCAGAGTCCGTGTCGGACGTGCCGTCGGTCGAGGTGGTGTCAGGGTCAGTTGTGTGATCACCGGTTGCGGTGTCACCCTTTGCTGTGACAGCAGTCGACGCGGTGCTGACATCTGGCTTTGGCTTCAGCTGGGTGGGGCTGGTGTCAGGCTGTGCCTTGACATCAGTTGATGTGATGCTGGTCTTGCTCCGCCGCCTACCCACGAAGTTCATCAATGTCTGCAGGAGAAAGAAGGGCAGGGAGGAGAGGGATGTTCCCTGGAGTGCTCCCACAGCGCTGCTGGGCTGAGCAGTGAGAGCAGCCCCAGCCCAGGCGGGGATGGCTGCAGGTACCTGTGCTGCCCTGCGGAAGCGGCCACGGGCACGGACCTGCTCTTCTGTCCGCTCCTGGCCTGGATGTGGCAAAGAGCAAGCGAGGTCAGAGCTGAGGGTGTGCGGGAGAGGCCGGAGAACACAGCCCAGGCCTGGCTCCACAGGCAGGGCCAGCCCTGGGATGCCCAGTGCATGGAGCAGGGCTGCCAGGAGATCAGCCCTGGCCCCTGTGCCCCCCTCCCTTTCCCTGGGTGTGTCCAGAGGGGATGGGACAGGATGAGGCCAAGCAGGGCTCCACCACTCACCCTCCTGCGGGGGCTGGACCTGCTGCCCCTCTTCAGGCTGCTGTCCTGGAGCAGCCCCAGGGCTTTCCTCTTCCTTCTTCTTCCTCAGCAGCCTGAGCAGGCTGAAGCGTCTCCCTGCCATCCCACAGTCTGGCGTCGAGGGCACCTGCAAAAGAGACACTTTGGAGAAGCTTCGGGTCTCCAAGTCCTGCAGAATGGCCTCAAGGCCACTTGCCACAGGGCTTGGAGACGCCTCAGAGAAGCTTTGGATCACCGAGTCGCACAAAAAAGCCTCGAGGGCACCTGGAAACAAGAAAATCCTCCCAAACGCTCCGGGTCAGCAAGGCACCAGTTGGCTGCGCGGGGGCTCCGCACAGCACTGCTCTGCGCCGTCCTGTCCCGTCGCACGCTCCGAGGAGCACTGCTGACGTGGCTGTGTCACCATCAGTACCTATGGCACGACGTGTCATAAAGGGCCCTTGGACACCCTGCCCCGTCCCATCCCATCCCATCGGCCATGCCCAGCGTGTCACAAAGGGCCCTGTGACACAGTGCCACGTGGCCTGGGGCCTCCCCCAGCCTGGCCAAGCTGCCCCACTTTGGAAGGAATGCGGTCTCTAAAGTGTCTCATAGAGCTGGACATGAAGTGTAGGAACAGCTCCAGAAATGAGCAAACACTCCCCTCCTGTGCCCGGAGGGCAGCAGAAGGAGCCCTCTCGGCCGCTGAGGCAGCTGCAGCGGGAAGGGCACGGGGCCTTCCACAGAAGCTGGCACGGCCTCCTTGGAAGAAGGGTCGGGTGATGGCCATCCTAAACATGGGGGGGTGGCACCCAGAAGGAACATGTGGGCAA